AGAAATTTACTAGCTCTGTGACCCTGGGCAAGTCACTTAATCCCTGTCTGCCTCAGTTTCCTCAATTATAAAATGGGGATAGAAATAGCACCTACTTCTCAGGGTTGTTGTGAGGACCAAACAAGGTATTGGTAAAGCATTTAGTGTGGCACCTGGAACATAGTAGGTGCTTAATAAATGCTGGTTTCTCTGCTTAAGGAGTTCATAGTTTCAAAGGGGTGAACGCATATATTACACATATATGTACACACATATACACATTATATATATGTATATTACATGTATGTTGTGAAATAAAAATAGAAGGTTATTGGAAGAGGGAAGGCATGAGCAGCTGGGGAAAATAGATACCTGAGCTGAGGCTTGAAGGAAAATAGGGATTCTGAGAGGCTGAGAAGAAGGGGGAGAACATTTCTGGCATGGGGATGAAGGGTGGAGACAGCAAGGGCCGTTTGATTGGACCGTAGAGGGCACAAAAAAAAAAGAAATATGTGATAAGGCTAAAAAAGTATCCTGAAGACAGGTGGTAGAGGACTTTAAATACCCAATCAAGAGGTTTGTGTTTGATCCTGAAGGTAGTAGGGAGCCAAGGGGGGTTATTGAGAGAGGAGAGTAATTATCATCTAGACTGTGAGTACTATCATTGTGAGGACAGGGCCAAGCCTAATATTCTTTCTGTTCTCCCACATCAGGGACTTGTCCCCCTTTGAAGTGAGAGGACCACTTTGAATGCCAGAAGATTTCTCAGACCTCCATACCCTAGTGGCTGCGCTGTTTATTAGTGAAGATAAAAAAGACAGTGGCTGACAGGAAGATATAGATTCCTGGTTCCCTTGTTGGAAGGAACTCTGGAGCGGAGTTATAATTAGGGCGAGATAACTAGGGGTCAGAATTTAGAAAGCGCTGATAAAGCCTTCCCAATACAATCAGGGGTGAAGCCAGAATGCCCATGGTCACCTCTACCATTTAATATTGTACTGGAAATGTTAGCTTCAGCAATAAGAGAAGAAAAGGAAATCGAAGGAATTAGGATAGGGAATGAGGAAACAAAACAAGCACTCTCTGCAGATGACATGATGGTATACTTACAGAACCCTAGAGAATTGACTGAAAAACTACTTGAAATAATTAACAACTTTAGCAAAATTGCAGATTATAAGACAAACCCACATCAATCATCAGCATTTCTATATATTACCAACAAAGTCCAGCAGCAAGAGACAGAAAGAGAAATGCCATTTTAAGTAACTGTAGACAATATGAAATACTTGGGAGTCTGCCTGCCAAGACAAACCCAGGAACTATATGAACACAACTATAAAACGCTTTTCACACCAATGAAATCAGATCTCTGCCTCCAGTCTGGATCTCTTTCCAAGCTCTAGTCCTTCATCACCAGCTACCTCTTGGACATTTTAGACTGAAAAGCAAACTCAATCAAACTCACAGTGTCCCAAAGAGAACTCATAATCTTTTCCCTCTTCTGATCTTGCCTGTTCTGTTGAGAATACCACCATCTGTCTGAGTCACCCAGGTTCAAAAAGTCAGCCTCGATTTCTTCCTCTCCTTCCTATATCTCACTGTACCTTCCTCCATCCTATCAGTTGCTGTGACTTGTTCTCCACAATATCTCTGCCATCAATAACACTCCTCTCTCTATATACAGATGACCACCTTAGGGGCAGCTAGGTGGTGCAGTGGATAGAGCACTGGCCTTGGATTCAGGAGGAGTTCAAATCTGGCCTCAGACACATAATACTTACTAGCTGTGTGACCCTGGGCAAGTCACTTAACCTCATTGCCTAACCAAAAAAAAAAAAAATAACACAGGGACACACTGGAGAAGAAAATGGCAAACCACGCTAGTATCTTTGCCAAGAAAACTCCAAAATGGCGTCATGAAGAGTTGGACATGATTGAATGACCAAACAACAGCAACCTTAGTTCAGACTCTTTTCATTTTTTTTTGCAAGGCAATGAGGGTTAAGTGACTTGCCCAGGGTCACACAGCTAGTGAGTGCTATGTGTCTGAGGCTGGATTTGAACTCAGGTCCTCCTGACTCCAGGGCCAGTGCTTTATCCACTGTGCCATATAGCTGCCTCTCCCTTTTCACTTCTTACCTAGGTTATTATAATAGGTTAATATAACCTATTACAAAATAATTATAATCTTTGTTGATGTCCCTGCCTTACATCTCTTCCCCTTCCAATCCACCTTCTGCACAATTGCCAAAGTGATCTCCCTAAAGCACAGGTAGCTCCCCTGCTCAATGATGTCCAGCAGCTCCCCATTACCTCTAGGATTAAATACAAGCTCCTGTCTTTGGCATAGAAAACCCTTCACAACCTGGCTCCGACCCAGCTCCCAACCTCTTTCAGATACCTTCGTCCCTTTCATGCTCTCTTAGGTCCAGCCAAAGTGGCTTTCCTGATGTTCTTCACACATGTCATCGCCCATTCCTGTGCCTTTGCACAGGGAATGTACTCTCTTAATTTCTGATCTTAGAATCTCTCGTTTCTTTTAAAGCTTAGCTCAAGAGTAAGCCACATGAGTTCTTTCCTGATTGTTCCAGCTGCTACAGCCTCTCTCTCCAAATTATCCTGCATTTATTTTGAGTATATTTACATGTGTACATGAATATGTATATTATATCTAGCTTCAGACACTTCCTGGCTGTGTGACTCCACTTATGTTCTGTCTGCCTCAGTTTATTCACTTGTAAAATGGCAATGGCTGAAGCATTTACCTCTCAGGGTTGCTGTGAGGATGAAATGAGAGAAGATTTGTAAAAAAAAAGGGTTATGTAAATGCTAGTTATTATGTGGATACATGTTGTATCTCCTAATAAAATGTGGTTTTACTGAAGAACAGGACGGTTTCATTTTTGTCTCTGCTTCTCTAGTGCCCAGAATGTTTGGTGCTTAAAAATGCTTTTCCTCCTCCCTCTTATGCTCACTTTGAGACTGAGAGAGAGGAGTTGAAGATGGCGTCGAGGACGGTGGGGCCCTCCTCACTCTCTGGGAAATTGAAAGGAGGGGAGGGTTTGGGGGAGAGGTAAGGAGTTCTGCTTTGAACAGGTTGCCTTTGAGATGCCTAGAGGCATTCGGAGATGAGTGAGCTCAAAAGCAAGATCAGGGCTTGCTGTATAGATCTGGGTGTCGTTGGCATAGAGATGACCATTGAACCCGTGGGAGCTGATGAGCTCTTCAGAGCTGGAGGGAATCTCAGAAGAGAGCATCTTGGAAGGGACCTTAGAACATCAGGGGTCAGGGAAGAGACAGCTATTGACTGATTCTGAGGGGTTTTCTTGTTGCACCATACTTCCTCATATCAATGGATGGACAAGTATGTATTGGGACCTCATTAGCCAGCCCTTCCATTACATAAGCACCCATCATATTAGGCTGCACAGTGGGGCAAGAGTTCAGAGTCCCCAAGTCACTAAGCATTTATTAAGCACTTACTATATGTCAGGCACTGTGCTGAGCACTGGGGATACAAAGAAAGGCAAAAGGCAGTCCCTGCCCTCAAGGAGCCCACAATCTGATGGGGAGGAAACATACAAACAACTGGGTACAAACAAATGACATACAGGATGAAGAGGGAAATAGTCAACAGAGGGGAAGCACTAGGATTGAGAGGCACTGGGGAAGGCTTTCTGTGCAAGGTAGGATCTTCATTGTGACTTGAAGGAATCCAGGGAAGTCCAGGAGGCAGAGATGAGGAAGGAGAGAATTCCAGTCATGGAGGACAGCCGGAGAAAATGCCTACAGCTGAGAGATGGAGTGTCGTGCTTGGGGAACATTGGGGTGGTTGGTGTCACTGGATGAAAGAGTGGGGGATGTGAGTGAGTGCGTATAAAGTATGAGAAGAGCAGAAAGGTAGGAGGGGGCTCGGTTATGAAGGGCTCTGAATGCCAGAGGATTTTATATTTGATCCTGGAGACAGAGAGAGACACTGGAGTTTGTAGAGTTGAGAGGTAACATGTGGGGGTTTAGGAAAATCACTTTGGCAGCTAAATGGAGGATGCAGTGGAGTAGGGAGAGACCTGAGGCAGGGGGACCCATCAGAAGTCCAAGTACGAGGTGATGAGGGCCTGAGCCAGGGTGGTAGCAATGCCAGAGAAGAGAAGGGGGCAGATCTGAGAGATGCTGAAGAGGTGAAATTGATAGATCTTGACAACAGATTGGACACGGGAGGGGGGAGAAACAGTGAGGAGTTGAGGTGACTCCTGGGTTGTGACCTGAGGGATTGGGAGGATGGTTTTGCTCTTGATTGTAATAGGGGAGTCAAGTTGGGGCAGGGCTTAGGGGAAAGATAATAAGTTCAGTTTTGAACATGTCAAGTTTGTCTACTGGACATTTAGTTCGAGAGCTCTGGAAGGCAGTTCGCTATTTGAAGCTGGAAGGGACCTTAGTGGTTAAGTCTAATCCCCCATTTTACAGATGCATCTGGAGTCAGACGACCTGGGTTTAAACTCTAATTCTACTTCTTACCAGCTCTAGGATTTCAACAAGTTGCTTCCTTTCTGGACTTCGATTTTCCAACCTATATAATATATGGTTGGCTATTATTAGATGACTGATTGATTGATTTCTTCTGGCTCTTTTCTCCAAACCTCCCATGTGTGCACACACCCTTATGCCATCTATACAGCTTGGTCTAGCCCATGGCTCTGTGGATCCCAAGGCTCTAGAAATCAGAGACTAATAGACTTCTCTAGCCCAAGAACTGAGGCTGAGAATCATCTCTCCTCTCCACAGTCCTCGTGGGCCCCCAGCTAACAGGGGCTTTGGTGAGTGGCTCTGTGCCTGGAACCGTGTCAGCTGCTGGCACCAAGGGGCAGTGCCAGCTAACCTCGAAGGCTCCTTTCAGTCTGCAGGCTATGTGACCAGGACCAGAGGCTGAAGGAGCTGTGGCAGAAAGGTGGCAGAGACCCAGACACTGTGCAGAACCAGAAGAGGGAGGGAGGAGGTGGTGGGGCCCACAGGGCAGGGCACAGCCTTTTTCCTGGATGCCAGGGACTGCTAACTGGGTCAGACCCAGGAAATGGTGCTCTACCAGACCCTGGGCAGAAAGAGTCCCCGAGTTCTTCCACCCGATCTCAGCCGAGGCAATGCCCAACATTACAACCTCAGGTAAGCCACTACCCCTCTCAGGGCCTCACTTTCTTGTACTTTAAAAATGAGGAGATTGGATCTCTAAGGACCTTCCCAGTTCTTAATGTAAGAAGAGAATGTGGTACAGTGGAAAGAGAGATGGATTTGCAGTCAGAGGATGCCCTGGGTTCAGATCCTGCTTCTGTGTGACCTTGGGCAAGTTGCTTAACCTCTCTGGGCCTAAGTTCCCTCATCTGTGAAACGAAGAGGTTGGACTAGGTGGAGGGTGGGAAAACTGTGATGTCCAGGCCATGCAGCCCTCTAGGTCCTCAAGTGTGGCCTCGAAGGGGGACCTAGAGGGCCTTGAGTCCCCACCCCTGGACTAGAGGGTCCTTCCAGGCCTCTAATCCAGTGACAGCAGCCCCCTCGATGTTCCACAAACAAGACACTTATCTCTCAGCTCTGGGCATTTTCTCTGGCTCTCCTCCGTGCCTGGAATTCTCTCCCTCCCCATCTCTGCCTCTTGGGCTTCCCTGGATTCCTTCAAGTCACAGCTAAAGGCCTCTTCTAGCTCAGCTGGAGATTTGTGATTCTGGGAAACATAGCCTGGCTCACTGGCCCCTGTGAAACAACCATGGGATCATCTACCATTGGGCTTTAGCTGAGGTGGCCTCGGAAGGGCCGGAAATATGAATCCTATCATCAGATCATAGATTTAGAACTAGAAAAAAAACCTCCTCATTTTATAGATCAGGGTGGTAAGACCCAGACTGAGTAAGGAACTTAGCCAAAGTCATGCAGCTAATAAGTAGCAGAGGCAGCATTTGCACCCAGGGCCTTGGACTCCAAAGCCAAAGTTCTTTCCACTGTATCAGGCTATGCTGTGCCCTCCCCCAACACACACAGGAAGCAGGGGAGCTTCTGGCCCTCCCCCTGCTATTGCTATGGCAGCTGGAAGTTTTTCAACCTTCATCAATCAAGTCCTCCCCCATTCATTCCTGTTTACCCCCCCTACACATGCATCCACAGAGCCAGGATAAACAGTCTCTCCTTAGTCATCAGAGCCTGAGCTGCTCAGCCTCTGCTCCCCAAGCTGCAGGCCTCTCTTTCTCTCCCCTCCACTAACTGCTCAGTTCTTGCTCTAGGCCCGTGGGGAGAGATGCTAGTTTCAGCCTCTCTTTCCTGCTTCCCCCAGCCAGGTCAGACTGGGACCACCCAGGGAGAAACCCAGCCGGCTCCAGGCAGCTCCCCACCCATGCACAACAGCTTGGCTTTCAGTCAAAACCTGGGAAGTTAGTGAGGGGAAAGGAAAGAGAAAGAGGGAGGTGGGAAAGGGCCTGGGAATCAGAAAACCAGGGTCACAGGAAGACAGAATCTCCCATTTGGAGGGGACCTCAGAGCCCATGTGTTCCAACCTGTACTTGACCAACGCCCCCACCAAGGAGTCAGGCAATCTGGGCTTGAAGGCCCCCAACAAAACCGCTTCCCCTGGAAAGTGGTTCCACTTTGGTAGAGCTCTGATTAACAGGAAGGCTCCGCACTGAAAACGAGTCTATATCTGATTTTGTTGTCATTTCCCTCATTGCTCCTACTTCTAACCTCTGGGATCCAGCAGTAAAGTTTCATTCTTCTTCCGCAACATCCCCCTTCCAGTGCTTAAGAAAACTATCAGCTCTGACCAGGCTTTCAACCTTTTCTAGGATGAATATTCTCAGCTCCTTCCACTGAGCTCTTTTCTGGCATTTTCTTCTTTTTTTGGGAGTAAGTATGTGTTCGCATCTGAATGTCTTTCTCTTATGTGAATTTTTAAAAAATGTTGTAGTGGTCCCCCTTTTAATTTTGGCATCACTTCTGCTAACCAGCGAATTAAAAGCAGAGAAAGAGAGGGAGACAAAGAGACACAGAGAGAGATACACACAGAGACAGAGAGAGACACACAGAGACAGAGAGACAGAGAACGGGAGGGAGGGAAAGAGAAAGAAAAGAAGGAAAGAAGGAAGGAAGGAAGGAAGGAAGGACCTTGATAACGAATAAGAATGGTTAAGCACAATGAATCCACTCAGTGGCCATATTAAAAAGCGTATGCACCTTTCTCAACTTTGTGTTGATCGCTTCTGGCAGGAGATAGGTAACACTCTTCATCGCGGGTTATCTGGATATATGGTTGCTCGCTGCATTGATCCAAGGTCCCATTTTTCAAAGTTGTTTTTCTTTAAAACGTTGCTCTCTTTGTATGAATTGTGCTCCTGGTCTGCTCACTTCATGCTTCATCAGTTCCCATTATCCGAGATTCTCTGAAATCATCTCTTTGGTCACTTACGCTGCCATAATGTTCCATTACATTCTCGTGTCACAATTTGTCCCTCCATTTCCCTACTGCTTGAAAAACAACTTAAGAAGCCCTATTAGGTTAAAAATCTTTTCCCTTCTTTCAATTCCACCTTCAGGATAACGAAGTTTGTTTTGCTCACAACTATTCCCTCTCTGATGTTATCCTTCTTAATGCCACCCTCTTTTGGTCTCTGCCTTTCCACCCCATCTCCCCTCTCAGTCGCGTCCAACTCTTCCTGAACCCATTCGGGGTTTTCTGGGCAAAGATACTGGAGTGGTTTGCAATTTCCTTCTCTAGCTCATTCTACAGATGAGGTGAACAGGGTGAGTGACTTCCCCAGGATCACACAGCTGGTAAGTGTTTGAGGCCAGGTTTGAACTCAGGAAGATGAGTATTCCTGACTCCAGGCGGAGCTCTCTATCCAGTGCTCCATCCAGCTGCTCATGCCAGCTTCACCAAGTCTTAAAAATAGAATTAAAATCAATTTTCAATTTTATAATTCCCCCCTTTGATCCTTGAGAGACCCTGTCTCCCATGAGTCACTAATCCTGATTAAAATGACAAGTCAGAGTATAGTAAAAATCAAGCACATCTGTCAATCCGCAATGATTAGTAAAGCTGAAGCGATGGTTATAGAAACAAAAAAATGCTGGGGAAAAGAGTAGTATTTTTGCTTGTTCTAATGCTGTTCTAATGTTCTAATGCTGTTCTAATGTTCTAATGCTTGTTCAAATCCCCATATATTGGAATAAGGACTAAAAAACATTTATCTGAGATATTCTACTTTAATAGGACTAACTTGAGAGAGATGGCCCCCAAACCATTAAGCTTAGTCTTTGATCTTTGAGACCTCGAAAGACTGACAAATTGACCAATTCCTTGGGGGCAGTCCCTTTTGGTAAGTAGGCCTTGCAGAAACATAGAGAAGGAATGAGAAGGAAGGGTGAACATTCAGTCTCTTTCCTAGTAACGTAGCCTCAATGTCCAGTTCATCAGCACCTTAAATCTTCAGGCTCAGATGTCTTATGTAGGCGTCTGGTTTCTGAAAACATCTCCCCTTGGGCATTCTGGAATGTCTTAGAAGATGGGCTTCTCTGATTCAGGTTACTTGTAGAGATTCTTAGATGTTTCTGCTAAAATTATAGTCAGGAAGGCCAAATGTTGGTGCCCCAAAGCTCTTTTAAGTTCCACAAGGGCAGTGGGGTGTTGTAGGCTCAAGCTGTAGACATCCAGAACCTAATCTTCATGTCACTCCTTGATTGAAACAAACTTCTCTCCTTTCAGGGTCAAGAAGAAAGTTCGAATTTGTGAAGTGTCTTTGAAATCCTACTGAAGCTGACTTCTAGTGGTCTGACACCTTTAAAACTTAAGCTCAGAAGAAATTGGGGCTGGGAGGGAGACTCAGGCCATTGGTTGTAGTCCTTCATGGCAAAGCCCCTGGTCGTGAGCTCCTGCAGAGCTTTTTCAGGGACCATTCTCCCCACTCCCTTCCCTTTAAGGGTTGCCCTGCTCCCATCCCAGGTTGAAAATTAGGGTAAACTGAGGAACAATGGTCCAAGCATGACCAATTTGTTAGCCTAGTAGTAACCAATAAATTGGGTCAATGACCTCTCCCAATGACCAAAGATCCGTATATATATTTTTGTATGCATTTGTCATCTCCTCTATTAGAATATGAGCTTCTTGCACATAGGGATTGTTTCATTCTTTCGTGTTTCATTCCCCGGTGGGTAGCATAGGCACTTAGTAAATGTTTTTTTTTCAGGTGGTTGATTGAGAGACAAGATATCTACAGTGTCCTAGGTCAGAGGCTCAGGACCCTGTGGGACTAAGAAGTGGCGGGGAGAAACAGGTTTGCCCTGGACACTGCACAGCTAGGCAGGTGCCTACCTATTGGAGAACAGCTAGAAATAGCTCTAGAGGTGGTGTGTGTCTATTTCAGGGGGTTCTTAATCCAGTTTTAAAAAAAATTTTGATAACTGTATTTCAATAGCACTGGTTTCTTTTGTAATCCTTTGTAATTAAAAACATAGATGGCCTCAAGGGATATGAACCTCTGAGAAGAAATCCTAGATTCTACCTGACTTCCAGAAGGGTCCGTGACTTACAAAAAGATTAAGAGCCCTTGGTGTACTTAGAGGTTGACAGGAGGGAGCAGGTGAATGGTCCTAGTTGGATTTCATATAATTAGATATCTAGAGCTGGAAGGGACCTTGGTAGTCGGTCCAGTAAACTCATTTAACAGATGAGGAAAATAGGGCCCAGGGAGATGAATTCGGCACGCATTGCCAAAGTGTTCCAGTTACCGTACTAGTCATTGGGGACACGAGATCACTCAAGGGCAGGGTTAGGATTTAAATACAGATCCTTTGACTCTGGGCAGCCAGGTGACTCACTGGATAGAACACTGGGCTGGAGTCAGGAACACCTGAGTTCAAATCCAGCCTCAGACACTTATTAGCTACGTGACCCTGAGCACACCACTTCACCTTGTTTCCTCATACGTAAAATGAGCTAGAAAAGGAAATGGCAAACAATTCCTGTATCTTTGCCTAGAAAACTCCAAATGAGGTCACAAAGAGTCTGACCATGACTGAAATGACTTAACATCAATTTCTGACTCTAAATTCAGCTAAATCCTCAGCCTTTCCCATGTGGAATGGCTTGTAATGAATGGCTGTAAAATCTGACTCTGTCACTACAGCTT